AGAATGCCAGTGGCAGGAGCCTGCCCCAGCTCCCACAGGATAAACCCTCGGTGGGAGCCACTGTGGGAGGGAGAGGAGTCGGTGCCCACGTCCCTGCTGGACTTATGAGGGTCCCACAGAGCAGTGCCCACCCAGGGCCCCGGGATGGGGATGGGGACGGGGACGGGGACGGGGACAGAGCCATGCTGGGGACCCGGCCATGCAGAGCATCCCGCTTACACAGGCCGCCTGGCGCACGCGCTCGAAGAGGCGCTTGGCCGGGATGAGGAAGTCGAGCAGGCAGCGGAGCCCGTCCCCGCCGTAGCGGCTCTCGAGGAGGCGGAACACCTGGCCCAGCAGCGTGGGCGCCGTGGCCTCGAAGGGCGGGTAGAGCGCGCGCAGGGCGCCCTGCACCGCCGCGTCCAGCGAACCGGCGTCCTGCGGGAGGAGAGCGGCGCTGGGCAGCGGCCCCGGCACGCGGAGGCACTCGGAGGGTTCCCTGAGACTCCAGAAGGTTGAAAGCCCTGGAAGCTGCCGCCCCGTGTGGGCACCAGCGTGGGGACATGTGGCAGTGGAGGGTCAGTGGGACAGGCACCATGGGGCTCCACACTCAGCATCACCACACCACGGGGACAGGATGGAGGACGAGCTCCTGCACATGGTGGGGGGGGTTTCCGTGCAGGCTCGTCGCTGGATGTGATTAACTCCAAGTCAATCACAGGAGGGTTTCTGGGGGAGGATCTGGGGCCTCATGTGCTGCAGACAGGCCTGGCTGAAAGCTCCTTTCCTGCCTTCCCTTCCTCGCAAACGCCCGTTCCCGAGTTTGCTCTCCCGGCTTTGCAGAAGCCCGGGCCTCGCTCCCAGCCTGCTCCCAGCACCCACGCGGTTCCGCTAAACTTGGCCACGCTGCAGACAGCGCACGGGGCCAGTGCGCAGAGCGGGGCAGCGCGGGGAAGCGCAGACGGGACGGTGCCGGCCCATTTTGGCCCACGAGGCCCCAGGACACCAGGGGCAGCCGCACACTCAGACTTGGCCTTGTCCTGTGCGGGACAGGGCTCTGTGTTGTCCCTGCCGGCTGCCTCGGGGCTCTCCGGGTGCCTGCGCTGGCGTCCGGATGTTCAGTGGAATTAGCTGAACTGGGAATTAGATTCAGACAACTAATCCCCAGTACGGAGGCCCGTCAAGAAACAAAGTGGCCCGGGTTAATTCAGCTTAATTAGCTCTAATGCGCTTTGCTAAAGCACTTTGCAGTCATGCTCTGCTTAATTCTCCTTGACTTTTCTCAGCTTTTCCACCCAGAAAGCTGCTGCTGTTGGGTGAAGCTGGGATGGAGCGGTCCCTGCCCCAGGCCACCCATCAGCCACCATTAGGGAGCGCGAGGCCGGAGTGCTGGACAAGCCCCCAGCTCCATCCTGGGAGTGGACGCGACACCCGCGGTGCCAACGTGCTGTTAAGGAGAGGCAGGAGTTTCTCCCCAAACGCCCCTGCTCTCAGCGCTGTCTCTGCCATCCCGCGGGGCCGCCGCAGCTCCGAGCTGCGACCTCCAGGGAATACCAATTCCCTCCCGCCAGCAGCTTCCCCTTTCAGCAGAGTTTGGCACTGTCGGCTGCGAGTGCCAGGG